ATTATTTTGTGGTTAAAAACATCTTTAGCTGCCTAACTGTACAAACACCAGTGACTGAAAGTACAATTAGCAACAAAAAGCTATTCAAAGCTAACAAAGCTGTTTTCATTCCACTATTTTCTCAGTTTTATCACTTGTTTAACAGGTTATTGTATGGGAATTGGTAAAAACACAATATGAAGCTGTGATTAATCTCTGCTCAGTGACTTTACATCAACAGAGACAGATTTTGCGCAGCTGACACCTAAGGTTAATGACAGATAATAGTTATCTTAATTAATGCCCAATGAGGAAAAGATGCTTCATTATCTCAGTAAACTTGTTTGTAGGATCTGACCACCATGTTTCTGTTTCAGCTGCTAAATAGATGTTACCAAACACAAGATATCCCATCGGGCCTGTCTGCTCCTCCTGTTTTAGTGGTGTGCTGAAGAGCTGGCAGCAGCTCTACTGAGCATGTGCAGCTTGGTTCTTCATCTCCTGCCATTTCTTCTCCCGCAGACTGAGCTCAGCGTCAGTGAAAGCTGCCGGACCCCAGTTTGTGATCTTCTGTGGTCCCTTAGAGCCTGGAGAAGACAAACATCTGATTATTCCCCGGCGACACAGTCTACAGAAGCTGTGAAAGGACATGCTTATAAAACTTATTTTCATGATTTACTGAGAATTTATTTCACCCCCTCAGTCATAAAGCTTGTTTTCAAGATAACGGCATAATATATTTGTTTTTCAGAAAAGCTCATTTTCTTACAGAAATCAGTTAAATAAAAGCTGCACTTCTTTAGTAAAAAGCAGTACTCATAGTGACAACCACCATCCATCATTGAACACCACAATGTTACAGGTACAGTGCTACAAAATGATGAAACAAGGTGTGGTAAGAATCTCGTTTTCACATCATTACTTCAGTATTTTGAGGGGGAAAAGGGCATCTAAAGAAAACAGCCTGGTTGATATTTATCCAGGGAAGATGCTAAAATGACTCTTGTCACAACCAGTTTTATCATTTAGTATGACAAACTCAGCTAATAACTGTTAAACATGGACAAAATAACAATATGAACAAACCTAATAGCTACAATGCTACTTTTCTTCATGATGATTATCATGAATGAATAAAAGTAGCATCATAGTTATTAGGTTTCAAGGACTTATACTGTATTGGTGCAATATTCATGGTGAAACTTTTCCATTAGCAATTTATTTTTATTTAAACTAATGTCTGGAAATCATCTGGGGACCCTCACTTGATGTTTCATGATCCATAAACTTTGTAAACCATTGATCTAATGTGTTGATCAACAATGGATGTTCTTTGATGAGACATTTTCAGCTTGAATTAGTTCCCAACATGTCTGTACTCATTTCTGATCACCTTGTTTAACTGTGATTTTTACATAATTTCTCCAGTCATCAGAACATAATGCACCTGTCAGTAAGTTGTCAGAGTTATAAGATCTGATGTGGCACCATGGTCTGTTTTCTGTCCTAAATATTGGAGGAGTTACTGCCTCTATTTTCTAATTAGAGTTCTTTGTTAAAACTTGCAATAAGTTATGCTGCGTTCACACCGACCAAATTTTGAGCGTCAGGTTTACATGCAAAGTTTATGGTGGATGCACGTTAAGGAGTGTCAGGAAGTGCTGCGGCTCATCTAGCACGGCGCGTTTTGAACAATTGGTATGCATCCATAGCGTCAGACACTGGAGATGGAAAAGCTGAACTTCTGCAGCTCAATGCGGAGCATCAACCAATCAGAGAAACTCCACTGTGTGACGTAGAGGTACATTCTCTGATGGGACCGTCTCCTGAATGCTGTCCACTAACCTGAGATAGATGGACAGGAGCGCTTTAGCTGAAATCGAGTGCCCGTAGATGGTCTCCTGGCAGGAGATATCAGCACCGACATGGGTCAGTGGGTCGTCAAACCGAGCTTGGGTCAAAAATAGTTCTGAAAGCGAGCCTCGTCAGCTCCTAGGTGCTGAAACTCACCAAACTCAGAACGCCTCTGAATTACCTGGTGAATTAATTATGAATTATCTGGTGAGCACGGCGTTCTCTTGCTCTCAGTAAATAAAGCAGAACCACTTTCTTAATTTCATCCACCATTAAACAGTGACTGGCAGAGGAACACAACCAAGAGGTACTTCCCGACCCACCTAGAGCCTCTAGAGCAATTTTGACAAGCGTTTGACCTCAAAGTGCACGAACGTCCAACTTGAAGCATTAAATGCGTTTTTGACAGTGAAAACATGTTCGTTGTGAATGCAGCATAAGTGAAATAGGCAAAATTATTGAATAACAGCTGAAGATGAAAGAAAAGAAATGAAGTGAAACCCTAAAAGAACTAAACTTGATACTAAATAGTTTTTTAATGTCTTTAAGTGCTTTTTAATGATAAAAGTGCAGAAAGACAGCAGCGGGTCATTACCTGGCTGTATGAGCCGTAATAAGCCTTCTTGATGAGCCACTTTGTGTTTCCATGACTTTGTGTTGTTCGCTGCATCTTCCAGCTTCTTCATCACCGTCTGATTCATCCATGGAAATAAAGTAAAAACAAATCACATCAGAAAATGATGACTTTTAAAAATAATTTATTTTCCTGATAATATTTTAAGATAGTGCACACTGTTACAAACATCTGGTTTTACATCTGGCTGTCTCCCTGATGTGTTTGAAGACGGTCTATTCATTGTCAAAAAGAAACCACAGGTCCTGGTAAAGACCTCCCACTGCAACACTCGTCATGTGGAGTCAGAATCAACAGGGACAGCGTGGCTGTTCATTTTTTGTTGAAAATGGAGGCGTTGGAGGAGGATGATCTTGTATTTCTATTGTTAACTAAAGAGAAGCACCATTTATAAATCCAATTATCTTGTTCCATATTTGTATTTCCTCAGCAAACATCTCCAGCAGTGGGTAAAGAGTGTCATCGTTCATTTGACTGAATTTGAGTTTGTACACAGCAGATAAATAAAAACGAAGAACAAAAATTTAACTAAACACTACAAAATCCTCATTTCTGTCAAGTGAGATGTTTGCGTTTTATATTCATAGTTTGTTAGAGTCTGCTGTTGACAAGTAAGAGTTTATTAGATCTACAGATTTTCTTTCAAGTAGTACTTCTTAATTAGTCAAAAACACAAGAAATCTACATGAGACCAACATATCTTTTGGTACAAATCATGCAAAATAGATCTGATGGGGGTTGTTCACTTAAATAATTTGAATCACTTATCATTTTTTGAACTTTGAGTTGTTTTAAGATGAAAGCAATCTACAGGCAGAGAGCTGTGCCTACAACAGGTAAGATATTAATTCTTCACAACATTTCCACAGAACCCCTTTTTAAACATTCTAGCTATTCCTTTATCCAAGCTATGGTGTAAAAGGAACAGCTCATAAACCATTTCAAAATTAAACAAACACTGATTTCTACAGTTAGTGTTATCACTTCAACATCTGAAGCCCAGCTTCGCTGTGTTTTGTAATAATTACCATAAGGCAGGGGTCTTCAACAGTTTTCAGTCTGGGACCCTCAAACTGATGGCAAGTTGAAGCAAGGATCACATATATGTATAATATAGTAATATATGAGTGTATGCTGACATTTGTTGTTCACTGCTGGGCTGCAGTATTGTATAAATATTGCAAAGATTACTGCACTAATAAGCTTTCAGCTAAATACTGTGAACCTGACAGAGCAAACATGACAAGGCTGCATGACATTTTATACTGAAATACATTATTTCATGCCTCTATCAATTGTTTACATGTTGGATTCACAATAATGTGTGTTCAAGATATAACTTTGATGAAAGAAAGTATTTAAAAAAATAGGATTTTTATGACCCCCTGCAGTACCTCTGCGACCCCACTAGGGGTTGTGACCCAGATGTTGAAGAGCTCTGCAATAAGGCATATTTAAGGTTCTGGTTATAGATTAAAAATAAACTGACTTGGTACTGCTCCAGCGCTCCTTGTCTCTCTAGCTCCAGGACCTCCAGTTGTTTCATGGCAGCCTGCAGGGCGCTCTCCTTGGCCAGACGCTCCTTCTCCAGCTCCTGTTTCTCTGCCTCCGTTTCTGAGATGGCCCGCTGCTGCCGCAGGTGGATCTGCTCCAGCTCTGCTCTCTTCATGGCCTCCTCTTCAAGCAACCTGGTCCACGCACAGACACGAGTCAGTACAAGCTGTAGTGTCATACACATCGCTGTGCAGGCCTCTCTCGCTGTCAGCAGGTATGGTCTCTGTACAGGTGTGTTGGGTGTAATGACAGCAGCCAAACAACAGCTGTATGAACAGCAAACACGCCTTCATTCAACCGTATGTCAAACCTAACACATATCCAAAATCTGTAAAAGATTCATTCAACATGTTCTCAGCTATAAAAAAAATGAAGTGGACATCAGTAGTTTACTGAGAGTGACAGCAGGTGGCGCTGTAGTTTTAACACTGACATGCATGTAAATGTTTTAATGCACTTTATCAACACAAAATCTCAAACTTGTTCACACATAAATAGTGACCTCAAAAATTAAATGATTAAATATTTCATTTAGTTTGCAGTTGCTGCAATACTGCATCAATGTAATAAAAGCTCAACATCGTGGCTGAGCAGATTCCATCAAGAGCTACAACGTTGCCACTGATAAAACAAATAAGCAGGTCAGGTTGATCCTGATCCCACTGTCCTGCTCCTGCAGAGCTCCTCTCAGTCACAGAGACGACCTCAGCCTCTCCAACCTCATGAGGTCAAATATATTCATTAAGAAACTATATGTGACGCCACAAATTTAACAGCAACCTAAAAAAAATTGAAATAACTTTAAGTAAAAGCAGCTTGTTACTAAACTTCAAGTTTAGACAGCAGTGGAGTGAATGAAACACATGTCAACACACTGTTCCCTGGTCAGCTGATTGTGAGGTGTAACGTTAACGTCAGCAGAGAGGAAGGAAGGCTGAGGGAGGAAATGCTGTGGCCTGTGGTGAGAAGAATAAATGTCTAATACTTTATGAAACTTGCATCAAGAAAACTGAGAAGCAGATTAACATTAACTGATGGTAAACTAACAGTTTAGCAATAAAACACTTTATTATGTCCGCCTGTGTTAGTTACGATGGGAAAATAAAAATCAATCCTTCATATTGACTGTGAGGATATTTTCTCCTCCAACTCATGACTGACCGTGCCTGCAGCTTACGGACGGTTTCCTCATCCTGTCTGGCGCGCCTTTCCTCCTCCAGAGCGTCCTCCAGCTGGTGATACATGTCCTCCAGCTCATGGACCCTCTGCAGGTACTGGTCCAGCTCAGTGGACTTCTGGGCCACCTGCTCCTCCATCTCCTGTCGTACCTGTCAAACAAGGAACAAAATGTAGTTTGGTGCAGGTTGTTCTATTTACTGTGTAAATCCAGGCGACAAACTCACCTGCTGAAAGTTGTTAAATTCAATAAAGCATCTAATCAACATTAAAGCTTTTGTTTTGTTAAACAGCTAAGCAGAGAACGAGCATAAGTCAGGTAGATAAAGATCAATCTGATGGTTCACCACATGCACACTGCACTCAGCAGTTCACGATTCAGAGCAAATGAGCACTAATAAGCTTTTTTTCTTGACTCTCTAACTTTCTCTTCAAACAGTCCCACATAGCTGATCTCTGATAAACTTTTTTCTAATCCCGTTCATTTTGAACACGTTCATCGCTGCCCCCTACTGTGTTTTCATTAAGAGTCACCATCTGTAAACCAAACATCAGAGCAGCTTTTATTACCATCTTGTAAATCATGCAGCTTTCTTTCTGTTACAAATCTGATCAGGCGCGGCTCATCCATAATGGCAGCCTAAAACAATATTCATTCACCCCACAAAATAGTTCCTCTTGTAAAATGCTTACCGGTATTTACGCCTGCCATGTACTTTGCTATGATACCCAGCCCTACTCCTAACTACAAAACTACATTTTCATGTAGCTGATCTGTGGATCATGTTTCTTAGGTAATTTACCCTGTCGGTTACACGTTCAACAATAATACTGCAATACTTTGTAAGTGAAGATGTTGTATGAAAGTAGCTCTTGCTCCGCCTCTGGTTCTGATGTAATAATTCAGTGAAAGTGGTTCTGAGCGACGCACCAGTTTTTCTCTCTCCAGTTCTATCCTGTAGCGGTCCTGCAGTTCAGTGTGGGTCTGAAGACGTTTTCTTTCTTCTTCTGCTGCGTTGGCTGCTGCCTCCTCCAGAGCCTAGCACACACACACACAGAAAATACTACTTTACAATACTTATTTATAAAAAGAAAAGCTTTTCCACCGACAGGTGAAGAAGCACAAGTTAAGAAACTTGAAACAAAACGTGGAAGATGGAAAAAGGTTTAGCCGTATAATCTCAGGAGCAATATCAACCTTGAAGACATTGCAACCAATAACTTCAGCTAAAAAAAACGTCAGACACAAAGGGTGAGAACAGAAATTCTAATACCAAAAATGAGTTTTGTAATCAAATACTGGAGACATTTTAGTGAAGATTTCACGGGCAAATTGAGAGACTTCTAGGTGAGATGCTCCTGTGGTGCATCGAAACTTTACATTCAGAAAAAAATTAAATGAACACAAAGTACTGTTCAAATATAAGCAAAAAATAAATAAGTAAAATAAATAAATAGAGCCTAGTCCATATTGCCTTCTACCTAATTATTAGCCTATAAATGGTTTAAGCTTTTCCTCATACCTCACCGGATCACTTGAATTCATGCCTCTATGAAAAAGTCAGTCTTGTCAGTATTTTTTATTTAAAAAAAACACATTCCTGCTGTACTAGTAAATAGAAAGGTGATACTGATTTTTTTCACTGGTTTTGGTATTTGGTATTATTTTAAATATCTTAAGTATATGTAAGTCTTATCTGTTTTATTTGTCATACTTTATGCTGTATTTTCATTTACACTGAATTTGCTCTCTAGGGTTTTACAGCAATATACATTTTAGTTGATTTATCCCTGTTCAAAGTGAGTCTTAGGAACAAGGCTAAAGATTCTACAAAAATATGCAAGCCTGCCTTGTTTCTAATTTAACCGTTAGTGGCAGTAAAAAAAATATGTCTGATTCAGAAAAGCTGGATGTGATTTAGGAGAACACACAGACTATTTTATTAATGTTGAAGATTACAGCTTAATGTTGCACTTACAGTGTTGATTCACTCAAAAAATAATTGTTGAATTTACTTAGTTAAATCAAGTGGTTTCATTCAATCAGTAAATATAAAGAGGTGTACTTACGTTACTGTGTAAAACATTTACTCCACTCAGTTGAGTGGAAACTTTGTTTAGCAAACTGAAGAAGTTGTTTATTGACTGTTTCCTCATCCAAACTGAAGAAACTAACCAGCACCTGCTGCCTAAAGACACCAATGTTATTCCAAATCTGTGCCTACGTTCTGCTAAACTGAGGGAACGAATTGTAAATCTGTGTGAACAAAATACTGAACTGTCATCACAGTTCCTTAAATTAAAAAACAGGAGTTTTACCTCTTTATATCAGGCTTTGACCATACTTTTACATCTTCATGCTGATATTCTGTCCTAATATAAAGAAATCATCATTCTTTAGATTGTCTGCATGTTTTAAACCAAGTTTATATTTTAAAAAAATATAAAAAATATCTATATTTTACCATGTCAAATTAAATAAATACAGGTGCTTTAGATTGTTGATGATGTGTGTGAATGTAGACATTAAACATTTAAAGCGTAAATGTAAAAAGAGATAAGAGGACCAGACTGGAATGTAACCTGGGACTGGTTACCCAGCTGTGAACTGTCTGCAAAATTCAACAGTTTACTCCTAACAACAGTGTGAGTCAGAACTTTGAGAGATCTAGTATTTGTTACCTTGGCCCATTTTTACTAAATATACTACTTTGTGGGGACCCACTGCTTCTAATGGGGCCCATTAACATAGTTCAAATGCCATTGGGGGGTCAGGGCTACAGAAACTAATGGTAGTCAGTACACGGTCCTTATAGGGATAGAAATACAAACTTGTGTGTATGTGTTCATTGTTCATTCATGTAAGAAACTATGTGAGACAGAGTCTGGCACATCAAGGCTGGATTGTTTGTAGTCCAGGATTGTTGACTCACACAAAGACAAAACTGTTTCCTCATGTACGAGTCATTGTGGGAATTAGTAATTTTTTATCTGCACATGTTTCAGGCATCAAATTGAAAATGAGTGAATATTTTCAAAAAAACAAAAAAGTTTATCCATTTGAACATTAAATATCTTGTCTTTGTAGTGTATTGAATATAAAGGATTTTTAAATCATTGTATTCTGTTTTTATTTATGTTTCACACAACGTCCCAACTTCATTGGAATTGGGGTTTTATAAATAAAAAGATAAGAAAAACTGTTCAAAAAAACTTAGCTGTATTATAGTGATCCTGCTTTTGTTGAAGCAAAATAAAACAAGTTTCATGTACCTCCAACTTTCGCTCATCTGTCTTCAGTAGGCTGTAAACAGTGCTGATACACAAAGCATGCACACACACACAGAATAAAAAAACTGTGCGTGTATTTTTATTTAGATGTGTCGTATGATAAATAAAAATAAAAGTAATAAAGACAAAACCCCCAAATGGGATGACAAATTATCCTTTAACCAGGTTTTTGTTTTCATTCATTACGGTTTCCCTCGATTTTTATCCTCCACTCAATTCTTTCTTCAGACCAACATGTCCCTCTGAAATGTCCAAAGCTAAAAATATAAAACGACACCAGCTTTTTCCCATCATCAGTATTCAGCCAATCAAATCAGCAGCCTCCACAGACAGGACGCTGACTGGTTTAGGAAGATTTACAAGAAAAACTCGTTTCAAGTGACGTCACCTCTCCTCCCCCGTCGTTCAGTCTGTATTCAGTGAGTGGGAGGACCTAATCGGCTGCAGGGTGAGGCTGATCTATTGTCAGAGTGCTGACCACCAGTTTTTAGGTGACCTACTTCAGTTGTACAAAAACACAACCATGTGGTTGTATTCAAGAGAGTGACAACCTGTGAATTTTAATTCAGTCATTTGGAACTGTGATCTCACCTCTGAGGAATGCTGCTGAATTGGTGTCCACCTAAACAAGTTTTAAAATCTTATATCCAGCCAAAAAGTCTTTTTGATCTTGTTTCGAGGCTGATTTACTAAACAAGAACTGATTGCGTAAGAATAATACTCTTGTTTTCAGAATGTGTAAGATTATTTGTCTTGTTGGTCAGAAAATTTGACTCAAATTAAGTCCAACATTTCTGCCAACGGAGTAAGTAAACTTTACTTGGTAAGATTCTTGAAATAAGAAAAAATTGAGTCAAATCAAGTTTTTGCAAGTGCAGAGACAACTGAGCAGGAGGAGTTTGAAAAATTCTGAAAATAAATGAAGAAATAGCATTTTAAAACACGTATAGAGAGAATAAATCCTCAAAATTTGCCTCTCCCGCTGTAGAAAAGTTACGTCATGTTGCGGGATCATTTCCTCCCTCCCTCCCACTACACAAAGCTTTAACAACCTTAGTTTTTTTCACAATCAAGTTGTTGGAGAACAAAACTGTTTTTTTATGTAATGTTACCCACAGAGATAGATGTGGATGTTTGTTCAGTCATAAATCCATCTTGCTAACGTAACATGTGCTTCTGTTCTGAGAGAGTGCAGCAGAGCAGCAGCGGGTTAGTTCAGCAGGCAGAAGCTCATGTATGGCAGGCAGATATTGCATTTATTTGTCTTCACCACACTTACATTCCAGTTATCTGAAATTGTTTTAGGACAGGACTATGTGCAGCTTAAGGTCCTGTCACACTTTAACATTTTAGACAACTTCTGCCAACTTAGACTTTTTTTATGTCCAAATTACTCATTTTACTTGAAGTACTGATTATAACATCCACTTTATTTTGATAATGTTGAAAATTTGAGAAATCTTTTTGTTTGTTATTGAAACCATTTTGCAAATATACAAAACATTATTTTATACTTCTGTTATGGTCATTTGCACTACAGCAAAAATGCTGGGTTTGATTATGATTACAGTTTTCTGCAAAATAAATGCTCTAAAAATTACATTATCTTTGCTTTTTATGATAATTTTCTACCGCGATATACTGTTACCGTGATGGGATTCAATTTGTACCGCAATATGAATTTGAGGTCATACCGCCAAGCCCTAGATGGAGGCTATGTTGGTTTCAGCAAACTCTCCTCCTCCAAACAGTGGAAACAAATCCACCCAGCCATAAATCCATGACACAACCAGCCAACTGAGCAGCAAATAAGCAGATAACACGAGCCGCGGCACACTGCAGAATCCACAGTTTACCATTTTAACTTAGCCTGGTAAAAACCAGACCCTTGTCCTTCACTTTGCTTCGTACAGAGGGTCTGGGCTCGCTGCTATAGAGAAGCGATTCTTGCAGGAGGCGTGGCCTCTGCTGAAGTGTGTGTGTCGCTGTGAAGGAGGCTAAGCTAAGAAGCTAACCGGAAATCGCGAACGCTGCAAACAATCCTACTGAGAGGAGAGAAGTACCGAGCCGAACGAGACGACTGTAAATGAGAGCTGCTGCTTTGTCAGACAAATTTAATTTAATTTTGGAAGCCTTATCAACACAGACTGGCTTCATTCACTTCCTCCACTGCTGTATGCTAAAATAACTAGCAGACACTGCGCAGAAAATCGATGTCATTCAAAACCCCGCCTTCTGTTTGTTGATTGGCCCAGGTAAAATAAACTACAAGCAGACACTGTGCAGAAAATTGATGTTCTGTTCTCTGATTGGTTCGGCTAAAAATCTGCCAGCAAAATCCCTGTCAATGGGAGAAGTCCCAGACGGAGCAGAGAAGCGAAACTAGAATTGAGCGGAGCTGCGTAGGAAGGCAAGGGCCAGGCTAATTTCAACCAGATAAAATAAAGAAGTTAGTTTGACTGAAGATTTGTAAGTAAAATGTTAGAATACAGGGTAACTGATCTAGAGCTAAAAACAAACAAACGCAATTGTCATCTATTGATTATCATATTAATCGGTATTGGCAATATGTCACAATTAACCATAAACTTTTTGCTAATGTGCTCTGACTGGCTGACAAAAGGTGGCTTCGAATGGGACAGAGAATTTCTGAAAACCATGCAATAGAATGGTGAATGTTTTGTGATTGCATTTTACTTATTTGCCCATTGCTGTGTTGTTTGTTTCCTTTGATTGAAAATTACGTTGCAGAAGTCCTGAGCAGCAAACTGTGATCCCGCCCACATCAAGGCAGGACTCAAATGAACCAAAACTGTGTAGAGGCAAGTAGATGTGGTGGACTGGACAATGAAAAAACAGCTTTTGTTTGCACTTCTGCTATACACAACTGTTTTCCATGGTTGTACTTTGCTCCTAATGCATTCACACATTCTTTCCAACGAAGATATAAAGCTCTGTCATAATGACCTCAAAGTCCAAGTTCCTTTTTAAAACTATATATCCATCAAGTTGCAGTTTCAGTTCAACATTTCTTTCAGCAGATCATTTTTGTGGTTGTCTTGGGATTTTCTATTTTTTATATCTATGATTCATTTCCAGCTGTGAAAGACTCGATCTGACCGAACATGATGTGCGTTTTCCTCCTACCTTCCTCATGTTCTCCAGCTCAAGTTGTTTGGCCTCATTGGCTGTCTGCAGCTCCCTCATCCTCAGCTCCAGCTCCTCCTGTTCAGCCTGCTGCTTCAGCCGTAGCTCTCGGCGCTTCTGTCGGGCGTCGTGGTGCGGCGCCGGCCGGCCCTGACGCAGCAGGTTGACGGCAGTCTGAATAGCTATGAGGAATTCATGGAGGAGGCACAAGAAGTAAGTAAAATTTTATTTATGAAGCACTTTTCTTAGAAATGACTTCACAAAGTGCTGTACAATACACAAAATACAACAAAAAGACATCAGAGCCGTCAAATATTTCCATCCCAAAAAGTTTATCAGCAACAACATTTAGCCAAGTAAAAAATAAAATATAAGAAACAACAATAAAAATAAAATACCAACCCAAAAAACATAAACATTTACAGAAAAATGTAAAAGTAAGTGGCCGTCTCTTTGTGATAAACAACCTCTCTGAGTTTCAATGAAAACTGATCCTTAGACAAATGAAAATTCATATATGAGCTGTAGTGCCCAAAAAGACCTGGTTTTTTCATATATCTGTTTTTCACATATTTTGCCAAAATTTTATTAGGTGTATGAAAGCTTTTTACATATTTTTGCAAACTTTGTTTACAGATAAAAGTCTATTGCTGTGAAAAGTCTAACTATTTTTGACTGACATGCCCATTTTGATTTTGCCCATTTTTTTGTGTGAGTTTTCAAAAAGCTGCAGAAAGAGTTGAGAATAACAGGTAGTGTTGAGGCTGTTTAATTCTTCTGAATTGGCGCTCTTAATAAATGACTCACCCTGAATCCATTCCTGCTTCTTCTTCCTTTCCGATGCACTGATTTCAAATGTTTTTTGAGATGACTTGATGAGGAAGAGGCACTTTTTCCCTTCTTTATCTTGTAACGGCTGCAGTTTAAAAAAATGCACTGTTGTCACATGCAAAAATGAAGAATGCAGCAAAACATTTAGCACGAAAATGCAATAATGGCACAATTCAAGATGTCTAGCATAACTTAACAGCTGTAGAGGTTCAGTAAAAGCATTGGTCTCTTGCCTCCACGGTGCAGCTTCCATCCAACAAGATGTCTCCTTTTTTCTCTGCGAGGTCCTCACCAACGTAGTAGGAAATGCAGTTGGGCTTCAGCACAAACCAGCGTTCAGTCCAGTTCTTCCTCTTGTGTCCCTTCTTCATCATATATCCCTACAAAGACAAACAAGGAGTTTTTCAGAAAAACGTCAAGCTTCTTTTCCCCCCAATCACTGGAAAATTTTCAGCTTTCAACTTTTCAGTTTAATTTATACAAAGCTCTGTTCTCTCTGTTGTAGATGCGTGACAAATATTACGTCTTTTTGTTCTCACATTTCCTCCAAAGCCCCCGTCTTTGCTCAAGCGCCTAGCAAAACCTTTTTTCATGCCGGTATACATCAAGTATTGTGTGATTGGTCAGAACGTCATTGGCATGTTTATGTTGAAAAGCAGCTGAACTGCATCGCTCTCAGTTCGCTTCAACTGCTCTGCTGAGGAACAGAAGGCTGAGGCTGCTTGAAAATACAGCCATCTTTACAACTGTTCCCACAAAACTTATAAAGGCAGTCAAATAACTCTTACAAAAACAATTAAAACACTTGTGGAGGCAGAAACAGCAAAGAGACACAGGTGATTCTTTGTGGCTGTGCCTCGGCCAAGAAGTGTAGGAACCCACAATGTGTCAGAAACAGTGGCCGTCTGAGATAAGATAAGATAAGATAAGATAAGATAAGATAAGATAAGATAAGATAAGATAAGATAAGATAAGATAAGATAAGATNAGATAAGATAAGATAAGATAAGATAAGATAAGATAAGATAAGATAAGATAAGATAAGATAAGATAAGATACGATACGATACGATACGATACGATACGATACGATACGATAAGATAAGATAAGATAAGCTTTTATTGTCATTGTACAAAGCACAATGAAATTACAGTTCAGAACACCCATTCACAAGAAGACAGAACATAACCAAACGTAGAACAGGTGTCCCCAGGTCATGCAGCCATAGACCCATGCACTGAGCAAGGATCATCATTATGAAAGATCATGAGGAGGTGCTACTCTTAAAAGAAAAACTAAATACCACATAAGGATAGATGAGGGGAAAAAACAATAACATCATATTATGTCCACAAAATGTGACACACTATGGTATTTGTACAAAAAAAAACCTCTGCAGAGCAAGAGCACATTTATTAGCCAGAGAAGTAAGTGAGTTTAAGGGGTGCTTATCTGAAGCCATGATTGTTGTATGCACTTGTGTGAATATCTGAAGTATAAGCCCGAAGAATCTAGTCAACCTGCCCAGCCATAGTTCAGAATGTTGATTGCTCATTCTGTGTGGCCTTCAGCTTGCCTACAGGAACCAGATCACAGACAGGAGTGTGGGAGGGAGGAGGGAGTGATTACTGATTCAGCATCCCCCTACATGGCCCTTCAAGGCCATGTAGGGGGATGCTGAATCAGTAATCACAAATAAATGTTTTCAGTCAGGCAGACAATAATCATTTTCCATCTGCCTTAACGTCTGCTGGTACATCCCAATGTGGCAAATCCAATCAGACAAAATAGTATGGGCAATCCCGCCGAGCCGAGCTATCAACTTCTCCAAGACCAATTCCATCTCACCAACAAAATCCATGGACCTCAGCTGGCCCACGATCCTCAGCAAGAACTGCTTGCAGACCAAGTTCCAGCTTGCACAGGGCTTGAGTCTGAGTGCTGATAGCACATCAATACTTCATATTGGTCAGGCAGCCAGGAAATGGCCTGAACAGCCACCAACACTGTTTGACAGAACACCAGGAGACCACCAAGCCAATCTGTAGAAATCCAGTGATCAGAATCCAAATATATATCCAGCTAGTTGTCCCAGTCGAACAGAGGTCCCACCTTTGACATGTCCTCCCATGGATGAAAATGTGTTCCAAGATTTCGTTAAGAGGCCAGCTAACCAAATCCATAAAAATAAAATCTATAATCCATAATTTCTGGTTTCAGATGAAAACATAGAGGAGGCTCCCAAGCAGCAAAGCAAGTAAGATAAGGGAAGGCAGTAGAGAGGAAAAAAAGGTTAAAATGGTAAATGGACTGTACTTGTTTCTACCCAACCAGGATACTCAAAGCTCTTCACACTATAATCTGTCTGTGCCCTCATTTACCCATTCACACTGCACTCTACTAGATCTCCTACAAAGCTAACATGTACAATCATCTATGGAGACTAATCAGTGCTAATTACATTCATACACTGATGGGACACACATCAGAGGCATTAGGGGTGAAGTGTCTTGCCCAAGGACACAACAACTGAGACAGCTGGAACGGAGGATCGAACTGGTGACCTTCTGGTTAAAGGTTGACTATCAGATGTATTACAGACATGTAAGTGTAGTAAACATGTCTGATTCATCATTTATTGATTGCAGAGGCAGACACTGTTGATTCGTAGTCAGTCAAACTCTGATCACAATGAAGCAAACTCAAGCTCTTAGTACTCTTTATATGTGAGGTTTCACACTTCCACTGTACAACATTTATTTTCAGACTTGTGACAAACGGTTTTGACTATCTTTGAATATCAGCTTTAGGGAAGTACATATCTCAATCTGAAAATATCCCAAGCTGCTCGTTGTTGTAGCAACAATCTGATGTTTTAGAACTGTGATTCCCAAACTCTACAGCTTTCAATATGTAAAGTAAAATTTAAGAAACTCTTCTTGACCCCACTTATTGCTGATTAAAAGATACAATCACAGCTTAAAAGACATTTTAAAAAAACATAATCAACTAATACTAATATTTGTTTTATTTTAGTTTTGCTCCCAGCATTAGAAAACACTGTTTCAGTGGACAAAGTTGGGCAAAACATGATCAGGAGTAGAAAGAACTGGTCTTTCACCACAGTTTGCAACAGATGGGTGCATAAACGTGCCACTAACTTGCCCACCCCAGGTAGTTTTAATCCATCAGTTATAATGTTGACTGTATTTTACCACAGCCTGGGCCTGCTGATGACGTTGCTCAGAGTTTAGATCACTGCAGCCACTTTACATAAACAAAAACACTTACAAAAGAACTGGCCAGTCATAAAATGTTCAATGTGCAATGCTGTAAGAACTAGTTCTGGATCGGGACAATGCACAAGATGTGGTCTCAGCAGCTGGTAAGCTAGGCAAACTATACAATTTTCATCACACACCCACATAAGTGACACAAGAGTGGGCCTTCTAACTGGCTATAAATCATCAGGTTTAGTCATCCTCATCTGCTGTGGAATAGTTATTTCTTTTTTTGTTTGTTTTTTTTTGTTTGTTTTTTGAAGGTATTATGTACCACCAATGGTGGGGTGAAAAGTTAATTTAATTCACAATGAAGTTGTCCATGGTATTAATTAAAAAACTGTTGCAATTTGAAGTAGGGGTGCACCGATTCCAGTTTTCTTGCTGATCTCTGGTCTCCAATCTTTGAAAAGTCTGATCCGCCGATTCCGATTTTGGCCGATGCCGATTTTTTTAATGGCTGACATTGTCAGATGTTATAAAGTCACAATACAACTTCAGTGTTCAAATTTTATTTTACTGAAATACTTTGAACAATGCGCTTGAAACAATACAAACTTGTTTCAACTGGATGTTAGGGAGTGCTCAGAGCAGAGCAAAACAAAAGAGGATGGTGGCTGATTTTAAGTCCTTTGTGGAGGTAGAAAAGCTAATCTTCTCCACCGATCTTCACCACTCTTATCTAAGAATTGGCCGATCTCTGATTCCCCAAATGTAAGGAAATCAGCTCTCATAAATCGGCTGGCTGATTTATCAGTGCACCTCTAATTTGAAGAGCTTACCTGTTGATGACCACCAGTCTACCCAAACCATTTTGTGATCAGAGTCGTAGACTTTAGGAATACCACTCAACATTTCTTTGATGAAAGTGGTCTTAAGAGAAAAAGTGTGGAGTCATAGTCTGAAAATGTTTTTTATCCTAAATATTTATGGAGTTACGTCATGGAAAAATTACTGTTTACTTTTTAATGGATGGACAGAAAGTCACAATCTAGGGAACAAAGGGTTTCCCATTGCTTTGTTACTGGGACACCAAGCTGGAGCACAGACAAGGTTTTTACAAAGGGGTCACATGTAGACTTGACCGACCTTTGGAATCAGTAAGGATCAACCTTGACCCATGAGGTTTCCAGCTGTTCAGTTTGACATTTTTATGTTAAAATTTAGAGCTCAGACAAGAAATTGTCCAGACACCAAGACAGCGCCACACCATAATAGATCTCATCATGGAACAAATGTATAAATACTGTATACAGTATAAATGTTTAGAATTTTAAAATCAGTGTTGTTCTTAGTTTTGTGTTTAGATCTAAAATATCTAACTGCTGTAAAGAATACAGATATGACTGAAGAACAGACCGTAAACCAGTGGAGTTTGTTTAGTCATGGTTCTGTCTGTACAGAGGTGTTGCTTACCTGTTTCAGTACATCCAGGATAAGCTCCTGGTAGACCTCGTTGATGCCCATAGACAGCGTCTGCTTGTCCATGCCCTTACTGAAGTGGCCCGAGCCCACCAGAAGGATGAGCTCCCAGACATTCAGACACTGCTGCTTTAAGCTCAGCTGCAGCTTGTAGTCCTCGAAGCGCTCCTCCACCCAGCTTCCCCCCATCGCCTCCGTCAGCTTACGCAAGAAGTACTCGATCTGTGTGAGAGGGCACGATTTTAATTAGATTCATTCAAATAAAAACATAAAACTACAAAAGTTCCCACAAATACATACAGATAATGTTATGTACTACATGAGAAGAGAGTTAATAGGAAAGATATTTCTCCAGTTTTAGCTTCTCTTCCCTTGATCTCTGTCAAATTCTGAATAGCATTTAAAATCTTCTATCATACAAAACTTTTAACAACCGAGCTCCATTTTATATTGATCATATTGTTCCATATTTATAAAACACAGCACTTTGCTGTCAGACTGCAGGTTTACGTGTGGCTCCAAGAGTTTTTACAAGTTGAATGGGAGGCAACACTTTCAATTATCAGGATCCTCTTTTGTGGAACCAACTTCTAATTTCTTCCTGTAAGGCTGGCACTAAAGGTTTTTGCAATGTAAGGCTTGGCCAGCCTCCACTCCAGTCGGCACAGCTTTACTCTACCTCAGCCCCGGTTGTGTTTGCATTGAGCAGAGAGCTGTCTTGATGTGGGCAGGACCATAATATTGAACACACGCAAATCTTATGTTATTTCATTTGTCTCACAACAATTAACGGACTACATCAAACCCAAAGGAATAGTACTGAAGGTTGTACCGGACCATCCAGCAGTACAACGTTAAGATAAGAGGGCAGGACGACAGAGGATAGTAGGCTAATGGTAGCTAATGTTACCTTATTGCTGTTGTGTGGTAGCTCGCTACTGTTGTTGTGTAGTTAAACTCAAGGAAAAAAAGTTAGTCGCTGGAAACGATTCATAAAAAGTTATTCTCATCAGAATGGCCCAGATAGAACCATGGGTGTCAGGGGCGGGATGGAACTGCCAGAAGGGCTAACACAAACACAATGAACCCGGGTTTGAAGCCAGGCTGGCCCAGGTCGAACCGGGCTGGGCCTTGCAGTGCAAAAAGGTCATTTGTCTACCTTTTAAAGCCTGATTTATAGTAAATAAAAAAGCCTATCCTCATATCTCAGAACTCAATGGGTGTTTATGTAAAGTGGTTGCAGACATTAGCTATGTTTACATGCACAAATTTTTTTTGATCGGATTGAAATGTACTGTATTCAGATTAAATAATCCGAATGTACTGTTTACATGGACACAATCCGATCATGTAAAGTGTTTACATGCACCGGACTGAATAAAAGTCCAGACATGCGCAGTGTTGTAAACTTTCAGCTCTACTTCCGTGTTGCAAATGTAAACAAAGCTCTTCTGTGCACTCAGGACGGACCCGTGTCAGCTTTTAATAATGGTAGAGATGTCATTAGTCCTCGGTTGAGCTGCAGATGAAGGAATATGTGCTTTTTTTCTTTTTCTTTTTGCGAAGCAATGTCTGCTATTTGTCTCCTTTTTCATCTGTTGAGAGAGCGTGGAGGAAAAGTTCTGCGCGGCGCAGCGCAGCTGGAAACTAGTGTTGCTGTCCCGCCTCCTCTAAAGAGCAGAACCGGGTGGATAAAGTCAGAAGACCTGTGCACTCATGTCAGTTTTCTACAACCAGAATAAGATGATCTGATTAAGTGTTTACATGAACGTCATTCCGATTATCAATCGGCAAAACCCACCCCACTCATTCGGATTAAAAATTCATTCGGATCGAGTTCAATCAGATCAGAATAATCGGAAAGGGCTGTTTACATGATGCATTTTTATTCCGAACAGCCATTTAATCCGATTACTTATGTCCATGTAAACATACTGTAGCTACTGATCTCTGAGCAACATCTGCTGAGAGAAACTGGGAGAAAATACAGCCAATATTACAACTGTTCTCGTAAAAATGGGAAAGTAAATCAAATAAAACTTATAAAGTCTAAGTTGAGTAGGAGAGAGGAGTAAAGGAAGACACCTTTGTGAAGTGAAACTGAATGTTGATAAACAGGGGTGGAGTCTCTGTGTCCTACTGTCCCCGTCTTACAATGCAACTATTGCAAGTATGAGTCAGCTCTCTGTGAATAACAAGTGATAATCAGGGTCCTAACAATCAGTCATTAGGCTGATGGTCCTCTTTTGCATGTGAACAACCAGTTTTGATTGCCATCATTAACTTTTCGATCTACTATGTGAAAGTACTGCTTATAAGCCTGAGTTTACTGTAACTCCTCAGACGAAGAAGTCAGTTGGAGAAGAGACAAAATGTTTTCAGCAAAGAAGAACCCGTCTAGATTCCTACTCAACTTTTTTTTTCTACCTGGATTATAGAGATGCATCAGGACAAAACTTAAAAACAAATTTGTGGAAAGAGATTAGAGTTTTTGCACATGGAAGAAACAGCTTGGCTCTACACAACTGTGCTGACTGAGAGCACCTCCCCCTGGCAGCTGTGGCTGTGATGAGGGAGTGCACCTTGGCCGGCCTAAATAGGGTCATGTTCCCACACCATCTGTTGTAAACAGTAGTGATTTATAAAATTGTGCCTCTCCTTGGTTAACAACACAAATGCCAAATCTTTCTCCTACAACTCCTCCACTGTCAACTAAAAAACAAGCATCCACTTCGACAGCCATGCTGTTTGTGACGATTTTGACTGCTTGATGTGTGCTGCAGTGGGAGAACCTGTCACACCTTTGTCCCTGCATCTGCTATCTGAATCTGCCCACAACTCTGTATGTACTGACAGCCCAGTACAACTGCTCCTCAAAACTATCTATGTTGCTTGCACAGACACAACAAGTGGAGTAGTTGAAACAAAATGACATCAATGCTGTACAAGTGCTTTTTTACACAATCAACACAATAATTAATACATATTTCTTTGAGAAAGAGTTTGTCCTGGTCCTTGTGTCGAGAAAGTGCAGGCAAAGCTACTCTGAGAACAAAATGACGCATTTTTTGTCACGCAACTACATCAACAAGAGACAATTTCATGTTTGTATCTTTACTTATTTCTACCATTAACAAATGTTTTTCTTCTCTCTTTCGTCATCTCATTTCCTGTTAAAAGTGAGTTTTTCCTTTCCACTGAAACCAATGTGCTGCTCAGGATTGGAGATTATGATAAAGTGAAGATTTAACACAATCTGCTGGCTTCCTTAGATAGCGTTTGCTAACTGGCACTTTATAATGTATATGAGTGTTTTTGTGCAGTGCCCTGAGATAATTTTAGTTAAATAAATAAGCTAAATTGAACTGAATAATTTCACATCAGATTACGCAGCTGTTTATTTCAAACTATCTGTCGATATACAGTATTTCTGTTTTTCCCACTATTCATCTCTCGTGAAATGAATGAAGCCTATAAATTTACAGTTACTTTGCAAACAATCTTCACGTGACTCACCTCTGTTTGTTACACTCAATAATACATCTTCCAGCAATTATAAGAGAACAGGAAGTTGGAAACTTCCCTTTCTGTTCTTGGGCAACTGATGTTTCATCTGGCTAACTGTTGAAACACTACATTTAGCATGCATCAGCTACATTATCTTGGATTTCTGTTGGTGTAAAATTACTTCTGATTTAGAACAAACAAACAAAAGCTCATTTGAAAACAGAGAAGTGAAGTCAGAAGTTCAAACTAACGAGCTAACTGTGTTCATTCAGAGCATGTGTGTGTGACTTTTCAACTACTTGGCAAGGAATCTAGCTACTGCTTAAAATAACCTGTAAATTAAACTGGATTGTTTTCCTTTCAGATGGGAACTTCACAGCTAACAGTACTGAACAGTGACAGTGGGTCAACAACAACAGACCTAAATTTAAATCTCAATATACCTGCTTTAATTCACATTTACGATATAATTTTTAACACTGAATTTATTAGAGCAGCAAGTAAATAATGACAACTTGACTGACAACTGCATGAGTATACTGTCTGTCTCTAGCAGCGATCAACAAGTGAAAGCTGACACTGCAACACTTTATGCTTTATGTTTGCTCTGAAACACATTTCCCCAGCTCGATCAGGAAGCAGATAACCTCTGATTAATTGAAAAGTTCGACAGCAAATAGTAAAAACGTTTGTTTATACGGCCCAAATTAAATTAGTTGTTCTGAAATCATCACTGAAAGCTACTAAAACATTGAAAACTGAATGTTTTGAAATTATTTTATGAATACATAATGAAAACACCTAATCGGGGTTGTTGTATCTCGGTGGTCAGCCTCATGATCTTGAGGCTGCAGGTTCAAGCCCAGGTTGCTACAGGATGGATATTTGATGTAAAACATTTGCCAAATTGTTTGTAAAAGTTTGCTTCCTGTGGTGATCCCTGAAGAAGGGAGCAGCAGAAACAGAAAAAAGAAAACATCTAATTAGATATCTGCAACTTGGATGGATGTCAAAACTAGACAATTCAACTTTCAAATCATCTTGTTACTCATTTTACTATATAGCTCTCATTGCGACCATTTAATTTAAGTGTCTGAATTTAGATTTTTATAATCGTATAAAGTCAATAGTTCTCACTGTAAAAACAGAACAGGCCAATCTTATTTAGACATAAACCCAACAATGATGTGTATAACATTTAAAGATGATTATTAAATAGTTCTGGTCTTATTCTGTGGAGCCCATCAGGTGCCAGGAGTTTAAATAACAAACAAGATTGTAAAAAATCTGTTCCCATAGTTTAGAAAAATCACGCACATAGATTTGTCACAATGTTGTGTTTATTTGCAATATGTGTTTTTTTTTTCACTAAAAACTAATGTAAAACACCCAAAAAGAAGTAAATTAGAAAAAGTCAGGTTTGTATAATACTGGAGAATTTTTTTTTCATTACGTTGCTTTTGTGATGGTTTCTAAAAGCTCATCCTTCATTTCGGTTCATTTTTTGCCGTAAAATATTTTTTGCTTTTCTGTTATTAACAAGGATATTTTGTGGGTTGTTTAGATGTTACGAATTCTGAAAGCAAGATTTGACTAATGCTGGTTTTCAAACAAAACAATGTCTGTCAGCAAAACTGTGCAAGCAGATGATCTAAATACTGAGGAAACAGATTGCAAAACCCAGCACATGGTTTCATAAACTGATGGAAGGGATTTTTAAGCATTAGTTTTTGTTTCAGCTGTTTTCAGCAATTTGCAAGGTCTGTAGTTTACAGTGATGCAAAAACTTCTCAGGAATGAAAGGTTAATGACTGAGTGTCGTGGTCAATACAGAATCTGTGTGTATTTATTACACCACTGCAGACAGTAAAAGATTTCAGCGTATTGCATGCAGGTAAGTGCAATCCCCTATGCTAATTTCATAAAACACAGTGATGGGCTGTCAGAGCCAGCAAGACCTTCTCTGCTGGACTAAACAGAATCTCTAACTTACATTTTCATACATTTTCTTCTATTGATTAATGTGTAATAAGTTGTTCTAAATTTTCTGTTATCTTTATTTCATAGATTTTCTCCTGTTTGTGCAGCTTCCAGTAGCCTATGTTTAAAAAGCCTAGAGCTTTTATCCAATCAGATTTCAACCATCGTGTTGCCATGGTCAAACAAATCTGCCTTAAGGCCTTTAATCAACAGTGAAGGCATGTGGTAATGAAACTGTTGCTTTAACCAATCAGATTTTGAGTTGACGACACCAGGACCATCTAGCAAGCATTCGATGATGTCAGCATTTTCATGTCCTTTGATTGGATGTTCAGAGAGCGTACTGACCCGCCCCCACCTTCAGTTCCCAGAGCGGTCCATTCTAGTTTGATAGAAGGGTTCAGGGGCGTGGTGGCAATAGGGACATTCGGGAGGATTCCCGAATGGCCGATCAGCTCCAGGCCGAATCGGCCGGTACGTTTGATTTGTTTTTATCAACCTCATAAAACGCTGCTGCGGCTCAGAAGCCGCGTGGGCGGTACGGCCGCTGGATGCATAGATATGATTGGATGGTGCGGCCGCACCGCCCACGCGGGCTCAGCCAGTGAGATAGTTAAACATTCAATGCGAGCAGCTTTTGAAACAAAAGGTGAAACCTGTCGAAAAGAAAGGAGAAAGAGATGGATGGAGCAGTAAAGGAAGGGAAAAAGAAAAGGTTAATGCAAAATGTAGCCAAATGCGCCAAATTAACAGAACTTTCCCATGATGGAGGGACCAAAGTAAGAGAAGCAGTGATGAGACAGGACCTAGCAGCAGGAGTACAGGTTAGCAAACACTGTTTATACAGTATGTCCTATCATTCAGATACTGTATGTTTCTCAATGTGTTCATGGTTCACAGAACATTAAACTAAGCCTAACAGAAATGTTTCACCATATGTGCAGAAATCTTTTACCTGCTTTATCAACAAAAATTAAAATCAGTCCATGAGCCTAAGTACTGACCAGAAAAAGGCACATTTCATCAAAACTATTTTTGCTCAAGAAAATTGGCTACATTGCAATGAGTCTGATCACTAACTTTCCTCATGTTGTAGGCCTATTTGCATTGAATTATTTACAAAAGTGCCATACAATGTGTTGTTGCTATTTATTGTTATTAGCAGCTGAAAAGTCCAGTTAGTCATGGAGGTGGATGTCAATCACAGAAGTGAAGAGGAAGGGACAGATGAGCAGGGTGAGGAGGAGGAGGAGATTGAAAATGGGAAGGAGAATGAGGAAGATGATGAGAGGAAGCAGGAAAGTGGAGCAAAAACCAGGTACATGTGCAGTGTGCAGAACTGTTTATGATGGGTCTTTGTATTAAATTATATTAACCTCTTGAGATCTGACGATTTTAGTCTAAATCTTTTTGACATCTGAAAAGGGCTGAAAATTTCACAATTTCCCTTCGTGTATTTTTCTTTATCTGACTGATCTATAAATTAGTTTTATCCAGTAAGTATTCACATTCTCTAACCTGAAACTGATTTTAATACTTTTGTGAATATTCCCAAAAGTGTACAAGGTATAAAAGTAAGTAAAATTTACATCTTTATTCAAAAACCTACAGGAGACTCACTCTGGATAAAAATACTTCAACAAATCTTTCAGGAGAAAGTGACAGTATTTGTTTGTTGGTGTGACATATACTAGTTTTGGACAAAAATGCTGTGGTTTTAAGAGGCTCCTCCAGTC